TCTGAGGCTGAGAGAGTGTGACTCGCCCAAGGTCACCCAGTGAGTTTACATGGCCGAGCGGTGATTGAACCCTGGTCCTAGTCCAACGCTCAAACCATTGTACCATGTTTCCAAAAATACCAGATGACAGTTTTGATTCTGCTTCCTAATGACAGAGCTTGTTCTATAGCTGGAAAAGCAAGGATCACAAAGAATTAATCTGTCAAATACTTGTCTATTAACTGTGCTTTAAACAGCATAAGGATGCAAATTAAGATTTATGTCTATTACTATTTTGAAAGCATAAACCAGGGGTAGGCAACCTTTTTGAGCTGGGAGCTGGGTTGCTGTCCCTCAGACAATTGGGGGGCCAAAGCACAATAAATAAATAAATAAATATTAAAAAATATTTTTTAAAATTTTAAAAATATGCATGCACACTCTCTCAGCCCCAGAAAAGCCATGGCAAAATCCCTGTGGAGATTTTGCCAAGAAAACCCCAAGAAAAAGTAATAACAACAATAATCAATATCATCATGGCAGGTGGTGGTGGCGGCGGCGGCAGGACAGGCCTGGGGCTGGTCCAAAGGCCTCAGGGGGCCGCATCCGGCCCCCCGGGCCTTAGGTTGCCTATCCCTGGCATAAACTGTGCATGTCACCCCTACACACACACTTCAATAGGAAATTACATATATAAGCTTGGAAATGTTGGAGAAGGCAGAGTTCCACCCAGCGTGGCGTAGTAGTTTGAGTGTTGGACTACGACTCTGAAGACCAGGGTTCAAATCTCTGCTTGGATATGAAACCCATTGGGTAACCCTGGGCTACTCACCCTCTCTCAGCCTCAGGGGAAGGCAATGGCAAGCCTCCTGTGAACAAATCTTGCCAAGAAAACCTCATGATAGATTCGCATCCAGGTCGCCATAAGTCAGAAACAACCTGAAGACCCACAACAACAACAATGGCAGAGAAAAATTCACACTCATAGCTAAGCTGCCCTTCAGCCTCACCTATTGCTGCTGTGTGCTGACTTCAAGCTCTTTCTGACTTATGGCAAAACTGTCATGGGGTTTTCTCAGCAAGATTTGTTCAGAGGGGGTTTGCTGTTGCCCTCCTCTGAGGCTGAGAGAGTGTGACTTGCCCAAGGTCACCCAGTGGGTTTCATGGCCAAGCAGGGATTCGAACCCTGGTCTCCAGAGTCGTAGTCCAAGGCTCAGACCACAGTAAACCATGCTGGGAGTTTGTTGTTACCACTACTACAGCAACATAGAATCGTACAGTTGTGTGCCTTCAAGCCAGTTTTGACTTTGTGGTGACCCAGAGGCAGGATTTTCTTGGCAAGTTTCTCCAGAGGGGGTTCCCCATTGCCATCCTCTGAGGCTGAGAGAGTGTGACTTGGCCAGGGACACCCAATGGGCTGATCACCGGCCGAGCTGAGAAGATGGAGAACAGCAATCGAAAGAGACCCCCTGCGATGATGTTTCCTTTCATTCTTCTGTACCTCTTTGGCGCAAACGGTTTTGTTTTTTCTTTGGTCCCGCCTCTTAGTACCTTCCGGCTTCTCCGATTGGTTACGCGGCTCCCACAACGGCGCTCCTGACTGGATCCCAGAACGTGTTTCTATGGTTACGCGAGTGCTCCCGCCTCCCGGTCGCGCAGGCGCGGTTGGGTCTTGACTGTGAGGCGAAGAAGCGACGGTGGCGGAGATGATGATGGAAGGCGGCGAGGCAGGCCCTGCGACGGCTCCTGCCTCCGCCACGGCGACTCCGGCGACGGCGAACGTGTTCTCCCTGGCCGGGCTGGGAGCCGCCTTGCGTGCCCCGCCCGAGGCTCCGGAGCCGGCCTTCCTGGGCTACCTGCAGCTCCCCTGGCAGCGCGAGCCCCGCGTCTGCAAGATCCTCGGCCGCCGCCGCCGCCTCCTCAGCAGGGCCGCCCGCCTCCACCGCAAAGTGGGGCCGCTGGGCAAGGAGATCCACGGTGAGGGAGGCCGAGAAAGAGCCCTTGGAAAGGGACCGCCTGGC